AACATTCCATGAATCCATTTTATGAAGAAGATACACCTATAAAATCACTTGCATTTGAGAAAAAGGCTCAGCTGTATGGGAAGAAATATTTAATTAATTAATTTAAGTATGTCTTGTCTATAATACGTGTTGTATATATTATTTCTGTATTAATAATTAATTATATTTCATATAAATATCAAACTAAATAAATTGTTGATTGACAAATAAATTAATTTACTATGATGAAATTTCGTTACTTGCTTTCATTCTTAAATTCTTTTTATCTAATTTAATTTTCAACTTATTAATATTAGCTGTTTTTTAATATATTTCTTTTCTTTAATAGGTTTTTAAAAATTATTGCTAAAAATAAAATTAATAAGTTATTGGTATTATGCAACACATCAAGCATCAATGCTTGGTTAGAAAATTACAATCGAATGTTGACAATTTACAGCTGATTTCAATTTGTGCAGTTAACAACGCCGGTATTTTGTGATTTTTATTGGCCTATTCAGGTTTAATTTTACTTAATCTACTATTTTCAGTGGCTATTTTAATATGAGTTGTAAGTGGGAGTAAAATTGTTTATTTATGTTCAAAAATGGCAGGTGTTATGCCCACGAAACGATCATCTGGTCGAAAACAATGGACAATTCACGGTAAAATATTATTTTCCTTTTTCAATTTTAATTGTACTATCATAATTATTAATAAATGGGAAGTGTACTACTCCTGAATTACAATCAGGGGTAAGAAACTTCCTGTTCGTAATTTTACTATGTGCATCATCCCTTTTTATTAATTAGTTATAATTCTGTTATGGTGCTATGATAAAAGTTAATTTCGAGGTTATAACTCTTAGATGGGCCAAGAGGCTCCTTAAAGCGTTTACGTAGTCAACTAGCTAGTGATGGTTGTGCTGAATCTCAAGTAGTTTTGGCCAAGCAGCTTCTTGAGGAGCAATGTGGTATGATTTATTTTTATAACGTTTAATTCAGTTTTTATTAATTTGACATTTTCAGAACTTGATGTGGAAAAAAATGAAAATGCAAGATTAGGTGTTTACTGGTTGTTAAAGGCCTCTGAACAAGGTAACACAGAAGCCACAGATCTTTTAAAGCAATGTCTTAAAACTGGTAAAGGCATCACTGAACAGAATTACATGGATGTAAAGACATGCATTAACATGACACAAGATGAAAAGATTGCCAGGAAAGCTGCTAGGGAAATGTTTGCCAGGTAAGATAGTTTTTATTTTATGCATATTTTTGTTTTTATTGAATTGTTTTAATTTTAGAAAAGTAGCATGATTATTGTAATTTAAAAATTGTTACCATTTTTGCTTAGCTCTTTAAGAAGCTTTATAATGTTAATTTAGTTTTATTTTTTAAAAGCTTATCAAATGGTGAAGACTATATAACATCAGAACAACTTCAAAAACGAATGTTGGAAATAGATAAGCAGAGCCAGTTAAAAGAAAAGCCTCTCGAAGATTTTGAAGATCCCAATAACGTGGATTTGGCTGAGAATTATCAAGAACAAACCAGTGAATCTGAAGAGGAAACGGACTGGTCTCAACGTTCAGACGGCTATAACGAAAAATTAACTGAAGATCACGTCGTCGCTGCAGCAGTCGATTACTCCCACGGGAATTTGCCTCTCGTCAACAGGATCTTGTGTTTGACAGAGCCGAATTTACGTGCATTAGATCATATCCCATTTATTCAGAGGTCAATTTTGCACCCTTTTCTAGCCTTTAGAATATTGTATTATAAAACAATCAAGGTTTGCGGTCGGAAAGCATTCTTTAAATACTTTCCTATTTTGAAGACTGAAACCCAATTTTTTTTAGTTGTCTTATTATATTTATTCGTCAGTTCTGACAACTTTGTGTTCTTTCTTCCCATGGCCGTGTTTTATGTTAGCTTTATATTTATGGCACTGACAACGTTCCAGATGCTTCAAGTGAAAAGAGATTACTCAGACTACAGGGTGTGGACCAGGTTATTTTTAACTTATTCCGGGGGGTCTTTGAACTCCAACAGAGTTGAATTTCAGTTTATTTGTAACAATCTGAGGCCTTTTGGTCATTTCTTTGTCTCTTTGCTAGTTAATATGTCGGTACACCCTATAATTTCGAATCAGTGGCTGCCTTATTCTGAGTTGACTATTATTTCATTTTGTTTAACATTTATGACTTTATTTTCCTTCACGTTTAGGGAGCGCAAAAGACATTTGGACTTATTGTTGTTCTTAAGCTTTTCTGTTAATGTCGTAGCCAGATATCCTTACGAAACGGACGCCGTAGTAACCCAAGGGTGGCGATTTCTAGAGTTAAATGTTCCTAATTTCGCGAGTTACGTAATAGGTAACAGTGTCGAGTTTTGTATCAATTTTCGTGTACTCTTTTACTTATTTATACCTTTTTTGCTTTTGATCATTGCTCGTCAAGAAAATTGGCGTGGTATCTACAAATTTTTGATTCCCCATTGTGTTACCCTTAGCTGGCTCCAAATGGTTATTGTGAATTCTCAAGGAGCTACTATGTACGGTTTGCTTAGGGCTACGTTGGCCCTTGTTGGAGTTGTTCTATTTCTACCCCTCGCAGGCGTAACAAGTATTGTACTACCCGCGGCTGCCCTAACAAAATACTTACTCACCTGCAATTCCCTTTACAACGTGGCCATGTTCGTTGGTTTTAGCGCTGTGGGGTTGTCCCTCAGTTTCATCCTTGCAAAAAGCAGATTTAACAAATGTACAGCTCTTTTACAAGTTGCCCTAGGTATAGTTGCCTTCATAGTCTTAATGAATTCCGTTATTCATGAGAAGTCGATATCGATCAATACTTTTTCAGAAAAGCATGTCCCTTCCTCCATTTCTTGGGAACAATATCAGAATTATTGTTACGAAACGTCATGGGAGTCCCAGAATGTGGCCAGCACCCAAATCAAATGTGCCAAACTTGCAAGTTTTCTTGTTGATTGGGAAGGATACGTTAGTGAAATCATGATCACTGAAATAAATAATTCATACAAAAACATCATCGATAAATTTCCTCGTTCAATTCGCACTTTTCTTTATTGTTATTTCGGTGATCAAATGCAGCACGAATGTGATAAAGTGTCTCAAACTTTAGAAGATGATTGTTTAATATTTTACGATATAATTAAATCAAAACTACCGTGTCACTTGGACAAATATAACGTATATCAGTTTCAAATAGATGTAAGAATGCCAACTGGTATTTGGGGTAAGGCGACGACGATTTCTTTATTATTAAATAACGATTTCAAAAATTTTACCATGGAGCTAATGCCAGATGATAAAATAAAATTTAAAGGAGAACTTGCAAGCTTCTTAGGAAAAAGGAATGTAATTGTGAATGTAAATGAAATTGAATGCCTTAGTTGTCAGAATCCAAACTTATCTAAAATTTCATTGAATTGTCATAATTTACCTCTCAATTATTTTTCTAATTTAATTAACATTGGAATAAAAGATGTTTTAAATTTTATTTTGAAACCCTTTGTAATATTTAAATAAACTTGTTTTATATTTTGTAAGTTATTTGCTTCCTTAATTGAAAAATCAGTTTGCTTGTTTAAATTTAAAGCACTTGTCAGTATAAAAGATTGATAATTAAATTAAAATAAATACCACATAATGGCTAGATAAAGAATGATAAAAATGTTATAAACTAATTTATGCATACACCAATCACTTATTTTTCATTTTTTAAATTAACTGTAAATTGAAAAGTTAATTGATAATAATCAAAAAATGTATCTAATAATTAAATTATAGTAAACTAATAATTATACTTATGTGATTTAATTCAAACTTCAAACACATGCGCAATAGGAAAATAAGGATGTAAACATTCAATCAGCTGTTAATTGGTTAACCTAAAAGAAGAACCTTAATTAAAATTTTGTGAATATTAAACAAAAAGAAATGCCTTTAATTATTTTAACAGGGATACCCTGTAGTGGTAAAACGACTAGAGCTGAAGAATTAAGGAAATATTTTGAAGAACAAGGAAGAGATGTCATTATTATCAGTGAGCAAAATGAAATTGCAAAAGCTGGTTTTGAGAAGAACAATGTATACAGTGAAGCAGCTAAAGAAAAGCATATTAGGGGCTGTTTAAAATCGGAAGTAGTTCGACTTTTGTCCCTAAGGAAGCTGGTTATTTTAGATGCTTTAAATTACATCAAGGGTTTCAGATATGAATTGTATTGTGCATCAAAGGCTAACAAATGTACTCAGTGTACTATACACACAGAAATCAATAGAGAAGAGGCTCGAAAACGTAATAAAGATCGAGCAGAAGGGGAGAAGCATAATGATGATGTATTAGAAGCATTGATAATGAGATATGAAGATCCTGAGGCTAAAAATAGATGGGATCAACCATACTTTTTGGTATTTCCAGAGCAAAACTTGGACTTTGAAGCCATTTCTAGCTGCTTATTTGAAAACAAACCTCCACCTCCTAACCAATCAACTCAAAACCCTCCTTTGAGTTCAACAAACTTTTTGTATGAACTTGATAAGATTACAAAAGATATTACAGACATAATTATGCAAAGGAAAAACATGGGCATAGAAGGAGAAATAATTATACCAGGTTATAAAGATCTTTCAATTGATATTTCTAATGTAAATCTAACTAAATTAATGCTTCTACGTAGACAATACATAACATATTGTAAATCACATACTCCTGAAATTAGTCAGATACCGAATTTATTTCTACATTATTTAAAGACTAGTTTAAAATAAAATATCAAGTATAATTGTTAGTTTTTAATCTCACCTTTACATGAAGACACCGACATATAATTCATTATACAACAAATTACTTATTAAATCTTTCAATTAAAATTTCACAAAATGTAACGGTTAATTTTATTAAATTTAAATTTTGTGTTTTTGAAAGTTTAGTGTATTAAAATGAGTGTAGGTGGCAGAATATTTTTTTCAGTAAACTGCGTGTGTAGTGCAGTGTTTCAAACTTATTTTGTGAGAGGGCGCAATCGATATCAAGGCCAAATTGTGATTGGTTAGCACAGAGAAGAAGTTGTGGCGGAATATCAACTGTTTTTAAAGAGCGGTGGATAGTGTATTGTGAAAAAAGGGGTTAAAAATAAACATTTGAATAATGCCGATGTATTAAAATATCGATCAAGTATCTGTATGTGGTCGATAAGTGCGAATTCTGAGACGAGTCGCGCTGCAAAGGTCCGAATCTAGCGTTAACGATTATGGCCGTTGTTGGGAGTTGCATTCTAGCACGATCCCAGTTGGCCTAGTACCGCTTGGAAGCAGAGTTAAACTCGACGACTCGACGCGTTAGATTATTGACGTGTTGGCCCGCTGTTTCTATGCGAGAACGCTTAGGTTGTAGAAAATTACAATGCTGTGTTAATGCATTTTTAAGTAATGTTATCAGCTTCAACTTGCAAAGAGAAAAATGTAAAAGGTACCCAGAAAAGTAATTTCAGCAAGCATTGTAGTGTGTTCTGTAGTGTACTCATCATTAATGGTTGTTGCAGGATATTTAAACAAGCCTCTTTACAAACAAAAGTTTTACTTGGACGTAAAAAATCGCGCGGTTGCCTCTAAACTCGAAGCAAAAATAAAGGAGTTAGGAGGGGTAAGTTGTTTGCTTGCATAACTTGTCTGCTGTATTTAGAGTCTTTAAAACTATGCAATACTATTTTAATAATAATACAGTATCTAAATAGTAAAATGATACAAACATTACCAAACGTAAATAATACAGTGTATTCAGTCGTGACAATGACGCAAGCTGCTCTACTTTACTTTGTTATTCAAGTGTCTTTGAATTTTGCTGTCTCTTATTAATTTGAAAGTTGCTTGATCAACATATGCTTTAATACTTGATTTTTACGTGTTCAATACTCGAGTTTAAGTATATTAATTTGTTTAAAATTTAACATTAATAATAATCCACAAAAACACATGCAGAGTAATGTCAATGTACAGATTTTCTGTCTCACTTTAGTGTTTATCCTCCATGCTTTTAAAATGTCAAAAGCAGCATTGGTAGGTACAGTCTGAAATTAACGAATTCGTTTGATTCATAGCTTAGTTTCGATGTACAATATTGTGCAAAAAAAATGTCACGTTCGCTTTTAAATTGTCAAGTAGGCTATGACGAAATCCGCCATTACTTTTGCCAACAGCTGTTTTTTCTTATTAGTTTCGCTTTATAATTTGGTACGTTATTGAAATTAACGTTTTTATATGTAGTATGTTTTATTAATAAGACAATTTTAATTATGAATTTTACGATTGAAATGCAGTCCTATTTGTAAGATTTTACGTTTTTGGTTTCGAGTGTACATAGCTTACGAATGCGTCATGTAATGTGGACGTATGTGCAATGTATTGTGGCTTGAGCACATACCGGTGCGCTATGTAAACAGCAGGCTTGTTCTGTATGTTTATATATGAAATTGCATTCCATGGTGGACATATTAATTACAGTATTGCACAAAGTATTTGTTATTCTATATAAAAAAAAAATTGAATTTACGTTCCTAGCATTTTTAGACATTTTATTGCGATAAATTAAAATATAAACAAGTTAGAAAGAAAAGGTCATTTTTTACGTTGCTTACTGTATAGACAGATAATAAGATAACTTATACATGATGCATGTAATCTTATTAGGATATAGGNCCAAACATGTATACACTATTTTCATAAATCTCGGGGTATGGCTTCACTTAAGCCTTACCTTTGGGTTTGTTTATAGATTATACATGTAGTAATACAGGCATTCCTGTACATCTTTTTTTCGATAAAACTGAAGGCATGCCTTATATTAAGTCGTATCTGGGGTTTGTTTATAAATTATTTAAACACACACAATCATACACGTTCTCCTTTTAAACTCAGGGTGGGTTTACCTTAAGTCATGTCTTCGATAAAATTCACGGTTGGGTTGCCTTAAGTCATATTTATGGGTTTGTTCATAACTTACTCAAACATACACACAGTCATACACTTTTTGGTCATTAGATCCCAGGGTAAGACTTCCCTTAAGTCTTACTTTTGGATTTATTTGTAAATGGTCTAAAACTAGAAGATTTGATTAGATATAATTGTACTAACGTTCAACTACTTTTATTTTTTAAACTAGAATAACCTTTATACCAAGAGTTTTGCCTTAATTATTATCTACTCAATAAATGTTTTATTTATCAGTGTTGTGTATAAAATAAAATTCAAAACATAGAACGCTGTTAATAAATAAAAAATATGGGGTAAGAAACACTGTTATTTAAAAGTTATTTGAAATTCATATGCTTCGGTGTAAGGTTGGTTGCATGCACATCATTAAAAATACACTTTGATTATGAAATGTTTCTAAGTTTATTTACATTTACTTGATATTATTTAAATAATTTTATTGTTTATTTAGATTAAATAATTTTACTGTTTATTTTTCTTTAATAAGTTAAATGGTTGATGTTTCAGTAAGAATTTGATTCACAGGAAATTATTTTGACGTCACTTCTGGTTTGAATCTTCAAGTAGCTGAAAACTGCAATGATGGCGTTGTTTGTGGCGTCCTTTGGTTGATAATTTATCATTATTTTTATATTTTTTGGTGTTTAATTGTGAATTTATGCAAAGACAGGTATTAGATAAGATTCGAATGTTTATTTATATATTTGGATAGATGGATGTTGGCTTTTAATTTTTGTATGCAATCTTACTACAGTAGAACGCGAGTGTATGAATGGTTGCCTACATTGCAGCTTCATAATTTTCAAATTATGGGCATAATAAATTAAGATATAGCAGACTAAGTAGACAATTTCTTTATAAAACCAATTGTTTTTGTTACAGGACATTGAATTATTCTTAGTAAAAGATATAAAGGGCCTTATAACCGATAAGGACGACTTGGGTGTTACAAACAATAAACTTTTTATTCCAAAGACGCCCCAACCAGGTTCAAACCAGTCATTCTTCAATTCTCCAATTGGAAATGAAAATGATAAGGCTAGACCGGTTGGTTTATTTTATTACTCCATGTATTACCATAATTAAACATTTCGTAATTTTTTTTTCCAGAAAACTCGAGCAGATGCTATGCTTGCAAAAGCAAGAGTACAATCCTCTGTATCAACTAAAGATCCTCTGGAAGAAGCAAAAAGTTGGGGAATTTCTATACTTTCCGTCGAAAAGGTTACTTTAAAAAATAAATAAATGTTGTTTTACCATATACCACCATTTTCAGTATTTTTTATTGAAATAATTAATAAAATGTGGACTTTTTCCATTGTAGGCATTTGTCTGGTTAGATAAGGTGGAATTGTCAGTAAAACTTTCTTTGGAAAAGAAAAAATTGAAAGCTATTGAACTTAAAACTCCCTACCTTAAATTTGAGGCTTTTGACAGGTGAATAGTTCATATTTAAAATAGATCTAGGAATAATTTGATCATTTTTAGATAATATATGTATTCATAGTTTATTTTTTTCTGTTATTCTTTTTTTGTTTTGTTTTTTTTTTTTT